ATTAATTAAGACAATTAAGTTTCTTCAGTTCTAAATAAATTATTTGGAGTGGTAATCGAATTAGCCGAATCTATAATTAACTTGGAGTTACCAAAGTCGGAGCACATGACAAAGCAGTAAAACGCGTCACTAAATATTGTTTTCTCTTCGTTGTATGTACATTAATTTAATCCTCTGTACGTGCATTTATCTGGTATTGACGTTATGCCGCGATAACATTCGGGGCTGTCAGACTGAAAAATTAAAATTGTTGTTGTGTCTTGATTAATTTTAATTGAGAACGTGCATCGACTACGTCATTCCGTAATTTCGACACAATTGGTACACGTGACTACTAGGTTAATTAACTTTATTAATTCTATATCGAAATTTGATCAGGTGATAAATTAATCACCATCTGATAATTAATTTATCACCTGATCATTAACTGGTTCATTAAAATTATTAAATATCATTCGTTAACAGTAATGATTTTTATCGAGGGAAAAAATGGAACTGAAAAAAAATTCATATCTCCGGAATGACGGGAGATACCGGAATTTTCATCGGATCCTTTTTTGTGGGGAAAATTGAGAGCTGCAAAAAAGGTGATTAGGGAAAATCAGGTGCGCCTCGTGGTTTTTGAGATATTCGTGAAAAACTTTGGGTTGTGAAAAGGAAAAATTTTGAGGATTCCGGAATTCCAAGGATTTCCTGATAAATTCGAAATCTTATCACTGGCAGATCGAATCCGCGATATCCACCATTTGTTTACTAAACATTTCGAGTGAATTATGGAGTCTCGACGCATTTACTTTAGCAATTTTCTGTTATTTATAGCGACAGGAAGGCGCGATTCGCTTCGTTATCAGTGCACGTACGTCAAACGGATGTTACGACAATCGAGATAAACGATAGGGCAATCGCCAAAACGAATTCAATCGAAACATCAATCCCAGTAATGAGGGGATCCAGTGAAAATATCGCTTATCAATTCGGTCTAATTGAGAGCTGTACATTTGTGCACTGATAAAAATACCAGCGAGCCACTCATTTTTTAAAACAATAATTAATCCTTCCTTTTATTTTTTAATTCGCTAATTCACTAATCAATCCACCTAGTAGTACGATTTTTTTAATAATTCATGCAACAATAATAAAAATTTCTTTTCAATTTTTTATTTCATTTTCCCTTTTTTTTCCTTTTTTTTTCAATTAATCCGGCATTACCCAGTGGCAATGGCTTTAATTAATAATTAATAATCATTATTATAATTATGGTTAATGATGATTTAATTATTTCATAGGTCAGTTAATTTTCCCAGAATTTTTCTCTTAATTCCCATAATTGACAAAAAATTGTGGATAAAAAATCTGGGGCAATTTCAGGAATAATAATTATTAATTATTATATTGTTATAAAAAATTGTTATTGTCGGCAGGATTATTTCAGGAGATTAAATGCGATAGCTATATTTAGTCAGGATTACCAAAAGTTTTTGGAATTTTTCTCTTGATTTCTGTTATTAATTAATAAAATTAATAATTATAAATAAAAATTTACACGCGTGCTCATTTCCACGAGTGGAATAAGTGGGAGAGTCGGTGTTTGCAGGCGATAAAATGACGTTGGTAGACTCTTTTGAATTCAGTTGCCTGTGGTTATCCACACTGGAATAATCCTCTGTGATATCAGTTGTGGTGATCGGTTCTGGTGAAATCAGGGGTCATTAACCTGGAGAAATTATCATAACGTGGTGATTTTAAATCATAAGTGGATAATGTCGAGTGTCTGTCATGCGCCGATGCCTCCGAGGATCGAAGCTTTTACCACTAGACTGTGTTTGAGGGCCGTGGACCAATATGAAAAATTATTCCAGAATAATTTTAAGGTAGGGCTTGCCATTTCGATATTTACACAATATTTTACTCATCTCCCTTACAAAAAATTCATCAACCCCTCCATCATCTTCGGTAGATCTTTCATTTTACCTTCAAGACTGCTGGAGTCCAGTATTGATTATTTAATATTATTAAATATAAATAATTTTATTAGGACTTGCGTTTTGTTGAGTCGATCGATACTCGGAGGAATATCGATTTTTGTGGAAATATTTTCTATTCGATTATTCATGGATTGCATTGGCACTGGAAAAATAAAGAATTTACATATTTATATTTATTTATATAAAAATCAGTATCACAAAATACGTGTGGCCAACTATTTTAGATATTCCATAATAATAAATTGTTAGTAGATTTTTTATTCGGAGGTATACCTTTTATTTTATTGTCCAGTCAATCGGGTCAGGTTCTCCTGGAGAATGTTAACGGTCCCCTGGTGCAATGTAGGTTGATCCCCTTGTATGTGTGTCAGTACGTGGGCGACAATTAATTGTTGATCCGTCGGAATTAATTGTCGCAAACATTTTAATTTTCCTGTAACAATTATGAAATTTTATAAACAAAACATTTTATGGAAAAATTCACGCAAATCCTAATTAAAAATCTTGAAAGCCCCGGAGTAATCGTTCGACCAGAAATAAAAACCAGACAGCCTTATCCACGTCTAAAATTGCTCCAGATATCTAGAGAAAAAAATAAATAAAGAAGACACCCGCGGATTTGAGATTAATCGGACTGACGTAAATGAAATCAGAATTATCAGACAGCGTCTGCCAACGCGTGTTTATTATTGCAAAACGAGTTTTGGGGTCGGAATTGAATTTCATCATTTTCTCCGCATCCTGACGCGATGATTAATCTTTGCCCCTCGATTATCGATGGGATGAGGAAGCAGAGGACAATCCAAGAATAAACGATCGATCGAGATTGGATTTGGTTATTTATCCTGGGGATTTTTTGGGGGTGAAAATGAATTTTAAATTACGTTTCAGCTGAATAAGAGCCATCGAGGGCAAAGGGTGAAGCAGAATGATCCATCACCGAATCGTCAGGAGAGAAAAGAAACTAGGGATGCTGGTGGTAATTGCATCAGTGGATTTCGTCAGTGGAGGAAAAACGAGTGCACAATCATCGGTAATGCAACACCAAGTTCATCTAATCAACTCGCTAATTCACGTGCCAAGATGGAACTGTTTCCAGTCGTTCTCTCGGACACGACAATGCCTGAGGAGGATTTGTCGTTGAAATTTCTTGCACTCGTAAGTGTTAATTTATTCCCGTTGAAGGTCTCCTTTCCACCTCCTGGATTCGAGGATAAAAATCAAAAGACCACTGACAATTCTGGAAATTCTTTCAGAATGCATTAGATCTGACGGCTCCAGCCAGCGATATCCTCCTGAAGAACCGCCTGAAGTCGTGGTTCCAGCTCTCAGGTCATCCAGACGGTTTTGCTCCAGCTGGCCCAGGGACTGTCTGGAAACGACGGACAGGAGGTGCAGAAAATACCGAGCGAACGGTTTATGAGACCCTTTCCAAGGACTCCCAGATGAGTAGTTACGTCCCCAGGTACTACCGCGAGGTCGACTACAAGGGTGATACCTTCATTGAACTCCAGGATCTCCTCTTCGGCTTCAACGATCCCCATGTGATGGATATTAAGCTGGGGACGAGAACATTCCTCGAGTCGGAGGTGTCGAAGACGACGGAGAGGTCTGACCTCTACGAGAAAATGATATCGGTGGATCCCAGTGCACCGACTTGCGACGAGCACAGGAATAAATCCGTCACCAAGCTCAGGTATATGCAATTCAGGGAGCAGCAGAGCTCGACCTGCAGTCATGGATTCAGAATCGAGGCCATGAAACTTCCTGGGGGACCACCAATCACCAATCTCAAGACTGTCAAGACGCATACTGCCGTCTTCGAGACCATGAGGCTCTTCCTCGGGGACAGGCGGCACGTCTGCGAGATGCTCCTGGAAAAACTCAGGGATCTCAGGGCTAGACTCGAGGCATCCACGTACTTCCAGACCCACGAGGTAAATAATTCCCTGGAAAAATCTAGAGAAATTATGAAAAATTGAATACACGAATGAATAATTAATCAATTTATCGGAAAATCATTAGTTATTAAAATGAATTCGTTATCACTTGAAAAATGCAATAACCATTTGTTCATCGTTAAAAGTTTATCGCTAAAATGAAAATGAATCCATTCAGTGCAAATTGTTAATTCTCAAGGTGCAGTAACAGCACTCATTAGGGAAATCCTCTGGTTTATGATTGTTTAACAATTGTTGTGACATTGCAGGTAATTGGCAGCAGTATTTTCATGATCTATGACGATAAAAATGTCGGTGTCTGGCTGATTGATTTTGCCAAGACTTACCAAGTGCCTGAGGGTAAACGACTGAATCACAGGATACCCTGGCAACAGGGAAATCACGAGGAGGGATTTCTTCTGGGTCTTGACAATCTCATCCTGACGATCGAAGAGATCGAGTCAAGTGACGGATGATTAATCACTTCTGCCGGAACAATTCCTGAGTCATCGAGTCCACCGAATTCAATGAGGAAAATTGTTAATAATTATTAGTCAATGAATTACGTACAAGAAATTATTGTTCTTTGTAGATTGAATTTTTCTACGATAATTTTATTTGATCTTGATAGATGCCAAAAATTCTACTGCTTTTTTATGGATTATTTTAGCATAAGACTTGTACAAAGGCTGCCTAGTGATAAAAAGTATTATGAATTTTTATAACACATGCATCGGGAGGTTTATTTATTTAATAACCCAGAGGATATTTATAAATTAATGGGAGATTATTGTGTTGTTCAATTGGAAATAATTTTTTTACTCGATTTATTGTGGAATTATTCACTTTCCAAATTTCTCTCTGTCCTCCCCTCCAAAAAAAAAACCCTCGCCTGTCCCCAATTTTCCCGCCAAAACCTTGAACAATCAAAAAATCCATTCGCCTTCGCGCCACGACGTCGCCACGATCGCGCCGACGCCGCGGCGTCGTGTCCGCCTGCGTCCCTGGCATGTAAAATTCACACCGGAACCCGACCCGGGAAAAAATCCACACGCCACATTTCCCCAGAGTCTCCAAAAGCTCCCAAAAAAATCATTCGAAAAAAGATCCAAAATCCCTTCAAAAAAAAAACCTCTCCCCCCTCCCAGGTGTTCATCCCCTAGTGAAAAAAGAAATTGAAAAAAAAAAAAATCAGTGAAAACTCGTGGAGAAAGCGGAAGTGAAGCCGACGTAGCCCCTGGGGTTGCGTTTGGGTCTCGACAATTTGCCAGAGGAATAAAAAAAGAAGAGGTGGGAATTGAGTGCCATCTTGGATTGAGTGCGAGGCATCCGCGGCTTTTTTTGCGGTCTTACCTGGCATTTGTTAATTAGTCCCATTGTTGATTAATCCGTATTGTTGGTGGAGACTGTTTGTGTGGTGATGCATTTCCAGGGGATAATCAGTCGTTCCATCTGTGACACCAGGCCCCGGCCAGTTTACTAACCCTTTTCAAACCTTAAACCACGTCTCCAGGGATTTTGAATAGAACTGTCTGCATTGTTGTAGGTTCTCACGGTGTTTCATTGTTTATCATTGTTGTTGGTGTATTTTCTGGGGTATGCCCTCGGGGAGTTCAAGGGTTCACCTGGTGCTTTTTTGGGGGGATTAAATAGACCTGATTCAGGTGCTCATGTGTCTATCTCCATTTCATTGGTTGCAGGAATCATCAGGAGGCACTCTGAGAGGAACTGGTCAAGATGGAGGGCGACGATGGCCCCGTGGTCATCAACAACAATCCTAGTGTGATCAAAGGTACGAACTCAATGATTCCCCAGCTCGAGACATTCTCTGGTTAATTGTCTGGAGGAGAGAACTCCTACTGTCTTTCAAAACAATTACTCGATGAAGTCTCAGGATTTCCTGGGGAATTTTTAATGATAATAAAAATATTGCAGCTGCTCAGGAAGAGATGGGTCGCCTGGACGTGCTGGTGTGTGGCCAGTGTCACTCTGTGTTCCACTTCATCGAGGAGTTCCAGGAGCACAGGTCAAAAGAGGGTGCTTGTTCAAAGACCTCGCACTTCCGTGATAATGGTAATAACGAGCAGAAGGCACAGGTGTGGGCATTCCTTTTGTGGAAGGACTCGCAGATCCAGCAGGAGGGACAGGACAGAGACTCCGCCAACTCGTGGAAGTTGTACCAGAAGTGGTGCAAAATGGAAGCGAACATTCGTGAGTCATGGGTGACAGCGGGCAAGACAATTCAGAATTTCACGAGAATCAGTAACGCAAAGATGCAGGAGGCACCACGTCAGGGTGCTGAGGGTGTAAAATCCACAGTTGTCGTGAGAAAAGTCATCAGAAATGGTCAACCAGAGGACAACGACGCGAAGAAATCACCAAAGGTGGAGTCAAAGCCCGACGCGCAGCCCCAGGTAATCCAGGACCCGAAGAAGCCATCGCAACGCCCCAAGACCTTCGTCAAACCCAAGACGAAGCCAGGGAAGAGTCCTGGTGAAGAGGAGGAGGAGAATCAGGAGGAATTCTCAGTCGAGAAGATAATGGCGAAGCGATTCAACACGAAGAAGAAGTGCGCGGAATTTTTACTCAAGTGGGAGGGCTACAGCACAGAGCACAACTCCTGGGAATCAGCAGAGGTAGTGAACACGTGTAAGTACCTCCTGGAGGAATTCGAGAGAAATCTTGCGAAGCAGAAGGAGCTGAAGGAGCTCAAGGCCCAGCAGCAGCTGCAGCTGCAGCAGCAACAGCAGCACCAGGGTGTCACTAAAGTCGTCAGCAGGCCAGTAATTCAGAAGACACTGATAAAACAGGAGGTGAGTAAACCTGGGCCCAGTACAGCAGCCCAAACAGTCAGGCCAATGCGATCCAGCAAATCCAAGGCAATGGATCAGGTGAAGCAGTGGTGTGGCACAATGAAGGATGAGGAGAGTGATATACTTGGTAAAAGGAGAATGGAGTCGACGGATTCCGACTCTGAGGATGCAACAGCACCGAAGAGGGCGAAGGGTGACACTGGGAGTGATGAGGATTGGACTGGTGAGTCTGAGGAGGAAAGACTCATGGGGAGGAGTGATGTGATACAGAGGGCATTCAACAGGGCGAATGCACAGTCAAATGGCTCGAATAAAACTGTTGCATCTGAGGTGACAGCCCAGACACCAGTCCTCGTGGCAAATGCCAAGGGTGTCGTCAAGGTTGATCCCAAGCAGATGGGAGATTTGTCCTCTGGGGTTTACGTATTGTCCAGGAAGGAGGGAATTATTAAATTGGACTCATCACCCAGTGGTAAGATATCGGTTAAGGGTGCACCTGGGGGTCAGGGTGTCCTCATGGTGCAGAATCGAGAGGGTGGGACTGTTGTCAGGAAGCAGGTGCTATCAGCTGCTCAGGCTAATTCAATAACACCTGTTAAGGTTGTGTCTAAGGCTGATGGTAGTCAGGTTGTTACACAGATGAAAGTCATATCGAAGGCAGTGACACCGAAACCCAGGACTCCAGTGTCAGCCAAGATTGAGCCTGTGAAAATCCAGCCGAAGCCAGATCCCACGCAAATCCAGCCAATTCATCTGGTGACAACTGTCCAGCAGCCGAGGATAACAGCGACACCACCAGTGCGTCCTCATCTGGTGAATCAAGTGCAGAAGACGCAGGACTCACGTCCTCTCCTCCCGAGGCCGACGATTCGACAGGCAACGCCCACCAGTGTTCTCGGTGTCACTCAGGTGAGGACGCCAGTCAGGGCACCTGCACCCAAGGCTTCACCTCAACCCCAGCCACGTCAGACCATCACCAAACGAATAATTACCACGTCATCGTCACCCCAGAGCCCCCAGATCCGAGCAAAATACACGGTTATGACGCAATCTGGTCCGGTGGTGAAGACTCTGCCATCGGTGTCACCGAAGGTATCACCGAAACCAGTTGCCAAGCCCCAGAGTCTTCTCTCACCCCAGCAAAAGCTATTCATGGCTAAACGAAAAGCTCAGGAAGCTGCTGGTGTCGTTGGTACGACAAAATCACCAGTTCGCACTGTTGTGGCGTCACAGAGTAAACAAATTCCAAAGGGCAGGGGTAAACCACCAGCTGTTCAGACGACTATTAAACCCAAGGAGACTAAAATCGTCGAGAGTGATGGATTGCACATGGAGTTCCAGGAGGTGGGATCGGAGGACAGCAGTGAGGAGCACGAGGCACCAGCACCTGAGGCTGATGCTGGTGGACATCAAGTGGGACCTGAAAGCCCAAGACCATTCACACTCTGTCCACTTACTGGTAGAATTATTGGGCCCGATGGTGAGCCTATGGAGACTGGTGATGGGCCTGAGCCTGAGCCTGTCAGTTTAACAACAGCTGCTGGACTTCAGGCTGTTGTTACACCGGTTACAGCAGCTGGTAATTTACCTGGTGATTCGGCTGTTGGTGTTGCTGGTACACCAACGACGACTGAATTGATTTTACCCACGCTGGAGTCACTCAGTGAAGCTGGTGGTGTGATGAGGGTTGAGATGAGCCCTGGAGGCACCACTGGGACTATTGTCCAGGGTGAGCCTGGGATCAGTCTAGCTGGGGTATCTGGCGGCAATGATCTGCCGTGTCTTGATGACACTGTCACGACTGCTGTCAGTACTAATGTCTCGACTGTTACAACATCGGCTGGTGGACAAGTGATGGGACAGGCTGATCCTAATGTACCAACGACTTCTGTTGTCTCTTCGGCACCTGGTGAAATAACACCTGATGTCAAGGACGAGGAGAGGAGGGTCGAGGATCAGGGGAATCTTGTTACTATCACTGGTGAGGATGGTGTTGTTTATCAAGTTGCTGGACATGCTGAGGATGGACAGACGTTGCTCGTTACTCGTGCTGCTGATGGTGAGCAGCAGTGCGTTTATGTCACCACTGATCAGCAGGGAGAGGATGGATCCGTTTTGACACTCGATCATGCTGTCGCTGAGGCTGTTGCTCAGCTCATTCCTGATCAGGTTAATTTGACACCCCAATTTTACGTCAAGGAGGGAGAGGAAAATACTGGAGATAATCAGATGGTGATGAGCATCATGGAGGGAAATGCTACACAGAGTCAGGAAGATCCTGATGGACAGGCACAGGTCGTTGCTCAGGTCGTGCAGGCTGATGATCCTACCCCAGGTTCGTCCGGTTCTTTTATTTCACAAAACAAGCGCTGAGGGAGTGATTAGGCAGTGAAAATTCAATGTTTTGTCGTTTATGTATGATATTTATGATTTTTTATTTCAGGAGGCACGAGACGAGTCGTCCTTCTGCTTCCTGATGGCAACCTGATGATGACAGAAGTCGACGAGGAGCAGTACGCAGCCCTGGAGTTGGATAAATGAGTGGAATAGTGTCAGATCGATGTGTAACTCCCAAACCTCGAGAATAATGAAGAAACAAGAAATGTTGTTGATGTATATATGTAAGAATGTTTGAACCTCGTGGCCCGAGGAAGACAGAGGCCCTGGTGAAGCTTCAGCTCCAGGGTATCTTCATCGAGACTGTGCAGGTACAAAAATTAAAAAAAAAAACCCACCAACACCTGATCAATTGACGAGGGTGAACAGACATCTGAATAAATCCCCCACAGAATTAATGATGATAAATAATTAATCTAGGGAATAGATTGAAAAACGTACTCTAGACGTTTATGTTTCAGTGTATAAGATAAAACTATTATTTCTTGCGTTTTAATTTTTACTGAATAGTCTTTATCAACATTTAAATATAGAATTCATCACTGAGAATGAGGGAAGTGGTATTTA